ACTTAGCATACTCTGCTAATCTAGGTTCAAGTTGAGCGTGAAACTCTCGAAAACGTGGCTCATCATCAAAAACATCCTGAAAACCGTGGAGGAGTTCGCACCCGAGACGATAATCATCTTGAAACCCTTCCCAAGCACGTTGAACATGAGGAGGGGGTCCAAGAAAATGGGCCCGATAACGTTTAAAAGCTCCAGAATCTCCAGAGTCGAAAGCCCCCAAGATGAACCTCGTAGTCCTTGATAGCCACCGACCTGCAACCAGGCCAGGATCTCGAGTCGGGGGGCGCGAATCTTTCTCCAGCGCCGAGACCCAGGCCAAACGAGGCCGACGTCCACGGGAGCCCCAAATTCTGAGCTCCGTCTGAAGGACCCTGGATAACTCCCATTCAGCAGCATCAGCCCAAACTCGATACAAAACGTCAAGGTGCTTCTGAATTTTGCCTCTGGACGCTCGCCTCTGGATAAGCTCTCGCCCTTCACGGGCGCAGTCCAAAACATGGGCGTGATCCTCCGTGCAAGGAGCGGGGCCGATTGGGCACTCCGCTGGCAACTTCGGCGGACGGAGGAAAGTGAGGGCCTTAAGCTCAGCCAACTGCGGGTGGAAGAGAATGCGCACGGGCGTGCGCGTCCGGATGTCGCTATCGAGGACGGCGGTGACTTCGTGAATGCATCTGGTAAAACCTGACGATAGCACAAAATAGTCCAGGACACGTAAACCCCCAGTACTAGAACATGTGCCCACATCAGGGTAAATAACATTCGCCTTTAGATAACCTGGAACCCCCGAGGAGACCAGGACCTCAGGATTCATATTGAAGTCCCCGCCTATCACGTTAGGACCCTCGTAGAGCGAATGCCTGGCCGAGACAGCCGCCAGTATGTCAAGATTCCTGCTTGTAAGCTCTTCACTGTCGTACAGGTAGACCGATGCAACCAAAACCGTAACGGCCCCTGGCACCTGGACGATTCCACTCATAGCCCTGGACGGGACGACGATCGGACCGAACTCGGGATCGTGAAAGCCCAGGAAGGAGCGGACCAAAATTGCGACACCTCCCGAGGTGCCTCCTGCTGCGGTTCTGATAGCTGGATTGAATCGAGATGTCCAACCCCTCTTTAGTGCCCATTGTCCTGCCTTGGCTACGTTGTCGTCCGATACGATGTGGCGCTCTTGCACGAGAACGATGTTTGCAGACGTGGTTACAAGCCACGCCTCGATGGAAGACCAACTCGTACAGTTCACCGTTTCGATCGACAACTGGAACGTGCAATCAGGGCAGGGGGGCACCGATAAAAACTTCGAGGGGTCAGAAGGTACGTCGCCTCCTGGGGGCAACCTAAAATACTTGCAAGCGACGGCCGAGGCCTCAGAGCTGGCCCCACACCAGTGGTGCAAGGCCTCACCTGTCGACCCCGAAGTCGCCGCCGCTGACCTGGTGCCCCCAGTCGATTTTGACCAATGAAATTTCGAAACCTGGTCGGGCTCCAGTGGTGATGAGGGAGTGGTAGCCGCTGGACTACCATGAGCTCGTATGTCATGCCCCCCCCCTGCCAGCTAGGCGCTGGCAGGGGGGCCTCCTTCTGAAAGTGGACCGAGAATACGATCTGCAGCACCGAGGAGGTCCGTTGCTGATGACGAAGCCGACGCAGAAGGTGGCGCCCCCGACGGAGCAGATGAAGAGGTCCCCTCGCCTCCCCCGCTCGCAGGCGGCGTCGCATCAAGCTTGGTACCCCCGTCGTCGTCACCTGTTGTGGCTGCAGCCGCCGCACCTTCAGCTCCAACCTTCCGCTTCTTGCCCATCTTGCCGACATGAGCTGCGTGGGCTTTCTTGAGCTCGTCGAACTTCTTCTTAGCTTCGCCGAACAACTGGCGTGCCGAAGCCTGGATGGCCTCCTTGAGCTGGGCCTTGCGCTTCTCCAGCTCCTTCGTGTCGGCCTCCTGCACCTCGTATACCGAGCTGTCGACCCCGAACACCTCCTCGACGTTGGACATGTCCAGGAAGTCGCTCTCGCCCGACAAAAGATCCTGCAGGGACACGCGTGCCTTCGGCTGGGCCGCTGGAGGCGGGCAGACCTGAATACGCAGCTGCTCCACCAAAGACTGGTACTTGCCCACCTCTGCGGCCAGCTCACGCCGAGTAGAACCGATGGACTCCTTTTTGTCGTGGAGCCAGCTCTGCCACTTGGTGTATTGATCCAGATCGTGCTGTAACTTCTTCTCCAACTGCTTGATGTGACGGTCGACCTGGTTCGCCTGAGCCTGGAGCGGCACTGGCGCATCCCCGACTCGGCGCTTGTCCAGACGGTGCTGGAGGGCTGAGGCGGCCGACGAGTTGCCCATCTTCTGGTTGAGGGAGATGAGCTGCTGCAACTCCTCCTCGGACAGCTTGTCCTCGTCGCCAGCAACCGGCGGGGGGCTGGTGCCTCCCTGGAGGCCCACGGGCAGGGCCGCCGACGTGGCCCCAGGCGCCCACTTACCCCAGTCGGCCCAGGGGGCAGCCCAGGCGCCGCTGGGCGGCTGGGGCGCCACTGCCTCCACCTCCTTGCGTTTGCCGTGGCACTGCTTGCAGAACCAGTACCGAGCCAGGTTCTTGCCACAGCCGCACGCGCAGCACTTCCAGTAGCCATTCGCATCAGGATCACGCCAAGGAGGATGGCCCGCTGCAGACCAGCCTCCGCGACGATGTGGTGGCGCCATGGCAGCGGGCGCCGAAAGATGCGGGAGATTGCCTCTGATTCAGCCGTCTCCCGCGGGGAGACGAAACCTCAAGCGCCTCGGGACGGCACAGAGGCAGGCCCAAAAAATTCGGGCCCCAGTTGCTTGAGAGCAGGAGCAGGAGGAGGAGGAGGAGGAGGAGGAGGAGGAGGAGGAGGAGGAGGAGGAGGAGGAGGAGGGGGAGGGGGAGGGGGAGGAGGACAAGCTAGGTGCGCTCGCGTCATATCTGACATCCTACCTCCTATCCCTCCCTCTCATCCCTTACCATGGCGCAGATCCCCTCTCTACTCGCTCAGTCGGATGTCGAGCAGGGCAATAGTCGAAACGAGTGGAAGCGCGGACATGAGGCCAGCGCTGCAGCGGGAGCACGATTCGGAACGAGCGGAAGCACGGAAATGAGGCCAGCGCTGCAGCGGGAGCACGATTCGGAACGAGCGGGGCCCGAAAATGAGTCCGGCGCCTCAGCAGAGAGCAGCATTTTGAAACATTATCCCGGCAAAGCAACCTAACAGCGATGTGTAGGTGCATATCTGCAAGCATTCCCCTTAAGATTCAGATGAGAATCCAGTTGTAGAATTCTGCTGTTCTCGCAGTCGTAGTCGCATTCGCGATGACAGTCGCAGTGGCAACGGCAGTCAGTCACAGCCTCAGCCTCAGCCTGCCTCAGCCTCAGCCTCAGCCTGCCTCAGCCTCAGCCTGCCTCAGCCTCAGCCTGCCTCAGCCTCAGCCTCCGCCTGCCTCAGCCTCAGCATCAGTCTGCCTCTAGCCTCGGCCTCAGCCTCAGCCTGCCTCAGCCTCAGCCTGCCTCAGCCTGAGCCTGCCTCAGCCTCAGCCTCAGCCTGCCTCTGCCTCAGCCTCAGCCTGCTTCACCCTCAGCCTCAGTCTGCCGTCGGCCTCGGCCTCAGCCTGCCTCAGCCTCAGCCTGCATCAGCCTCAGCCTCAGCCTCAGCCTGCCTCATCATCAGCCTGCCTCAGCTTCAGCCTCAGCCTCAGCCTGCCTCAGCCTCAGCCTCAGTCTCAGCCTGCTTCAGCCTCAGCCTCAGTCTGCCTGCAGCCTCCTCCTCATCCTCAGCCTGCCTCAGCCTGAGCCTGCCTCCGCCTCAGCCTCAGCCTCAGCCTGCCTCAGCCTCAGCCTGCCTCAGCCTCAGCCTCAGCCTGCCTCAGCCTCAGCCTCAGACTGCCTCAGCCTCAGCCTCAGTCTGCCTTCATCCTCGGCCTCAGCCTAAGCCTGCCTCAGCCTCAGCCTGCATCAGCCTCAGCCTCAGCCTCAGCCTGCCTCAGCATCAGCCTGCCTCACCCTCAGCCTCAGCCTGCCTCAGCCTCAGACTCAGCCTGCTTCAGCCTCAGCATCAGTCTGCCTTCAGCCTCGGCCTCGACCTCCGCCTGCCTCAGCCTCAGCCTGCATGAGCCTCAGCCCCAGTCTCAGCCTGCCTCAGCATCAGCCTGCCTCAGCCTCAGCCTCAGCCTGCCTCAGCCTCGGCCTCAGCCTGCTTCAGCCTCAGCCTCAGTCTGCCTTCTTCCTCGGCCTCAGCATCAGTCTGCCTCAGCCTCAGCCTGCCTCAGCCTCAGCCTCAGCCTCAGCCTGCCTCAGCATCAGCCTGCCTCAGCCTCAGCCTCAGCCTGCCTCCTCCTCATCCTCAGCCTGCTTCAGCCTCAGCCTCAATCTGCCTTCAGGGGCCCGAGAATGAGGCCGGCGCCTCAGCGAGAGCAGCATTTTGCAACAATGCAGGCGAAAACCCAACTCCGGGGAAACCTGTGTAAAAAACCATACGCGGGGGGGGGGTCAGACACTCCCAGGCCGTCATCAGGGGAAGAGGGAGAGTAGTATTCATATTGAGTAATTGTGGAGGAGGAGGAGGAGGAGGAGGAGGAGGAGGAGGAGGAGGAGGAGGAGAAGGAGGAGGAGGGGAGGAGGAGGTGGAGCAGCAGAAGCAGCAGGAGCAGCAGGAGCAGGAGAAGGACCAGGAGCAGTAGGAGGAGGGGGAGGAGGAGGAGGAGGAGAAGGAGGAGGAAGAGGAGGAGGAGGAGGAGGAAGAGGAGGAGAAGGAGGAGGAGGTGGAGGAGGAGGAGCAGCAGGAGCAGCAGGAGCAGCAGGAGCAGGAGCAGGAGCAGCAGGAGGAGGAGGAGGAGGAGAAGGAGGAGGAGGAGGAGGGAGGAGGAGGAGCAGCAGGAGCAGCAGGAGCAGCAGGAGCAGGAGCAGGAGCAGAAGGCCATTTTGGCCATTTTTCCGTTCGGCCCCCTGGCGCCCTGCCCGCGGGCCAAACCAGGTGCCGTCGAAGCGCGGTCACGCCGCGCCACCGTCGCCGAAGGGCGACTCCCAGCCCGCCTCCACGCGCGCCTGCGCCCAGCGCGCCGCGGCGGCGGGCGAAGCGAAGCCGTGGAGCGCGGCCGCCTGCCAGGCATCCGCCACGGCTGGCCGCAGCCCCCAGCGCGGCGGCCGCCCAGCCCCAGCGGGGGCCCCAGCGCCGCCTGCCTCGCCAGCGCCTCCTCGGAGCACCGCCGCGAGCCGCGCCTGCTCCTCGGCCGTGGGCGCCTGCGGGGCGAGGAGCCGCACCTTGCTCTTCGGCTCCTGGAGCCGCATCAGGAGCCGCCTCGCCTCTGCCGCCCGCTCCGGGGGCAGGTCGCCCCTTGCAGCTGCCCAGCAGGCCAGCCCCTGCAGGAGGGGACCTCTTCCAGAAGCGGCAGCCACACTTCAGGCACCAGGCCATGGCCCCGTCGCCGTTCTCCAGGCGAGAGACGACGATGCAGTGCCCTCGCACCTCCCGCGCCACGCCTGCTCCTGCCACAGCTGCCTGCAGCTCGGGGGCGGCTGCCGCAGCGTCCTCGAGCTCGACGGCGGCGGCCTCGGCGGCGGCGTCGGGTGGCTGGCCGAGCTCCGCGCCAGCAGCAGCCCCAGCACCAGCAGCAGGAGCCTGGCCATGCACGAGCTCGGCCTCGAGCGCCGCCGCCGCCACCTCCTCGTCGGCCTGCTCCGCCGCGTCCAGCGCCTCCTGCGGGATGTCGTAGACGAGGTCGGCCGTGCCTACCACCCCGTCGGAGTCCAGCTTCTCGTGGTCCACCATGGCGGCGGCCAGCTCGCCGATCCAGCGCCCGAGCTCCTCCGCACGCCAGGCGCACACCTGGAGGAACCAGACCAGCTCCTCGTCGATCGGCCACAGGGCGGCGCCCCTCTTGGCCCACAGGTCGGCTGCCCTGTTGCCCTTGATCATGAGCTCCTCCTCCCAGCTGGACGCCGCGGCGAGCGCCTTGTGCGCCTTGACCTTGCGCACTGTGGCCGCCAGGCCAGGCCCCGCCCACCACTCCTGCCACAGGCGGCGGCGCGCCTGCAGCGGCGCGAGGGCCTTGCCCCGCGAAAGCGCCAGGCCGACCGTGCCAGCACAGTCGCAGAAGACCTCGAGGCCCGCGCCGTCGTCCGACGCCTGCCAGTACTGGGCCAGCATGTGGAACGCGTAGTCCTCGCCGTCCCTGGCCTCCTGCTCGGGTCCGTACCTCCACGGGGCGATGCCGCGCATCCCGCCGATGACTTCCCCGCCGAGGCCGATCTGCACCACGGCCCAGCCAGCGCGGCGTGCCCCTCGCAGCGCGGGGAACCTGGCGCTGCCATCCACGAAGACCCTGCCCGCGAACTTCGAGCCTGGCGGCGCGCCGAACCAGCGCGGGGCCGCGAGCGCAGCGTCTGCCGCCGCGGGGAAGGCAAGGGCAGGGTCGGGGCAGAGCGCACGCGCGAAGAGCTCCGCCGCGGCATCCCCGCGCTGCGCCACCAGCCTTGCCCCTTCCAGCAGATCGGGCGAGCACGCCTCCCTCCGCAGCGGCTGCCAAGCGTCGCACTCGAAGGCCCTGTGCCGCAGCGTGCCCCTGCCTCCACACAGGCAGCAGCGGCGGTCGAGCGCCTTGCCCTCCTTCCAGAGCCGCTCCTGAGGCCAGTGGGAACCGCCGAGGACCGCCGCGAGCGCACGCCTGTGACGGGCCTGCCAGAGCGGCGGCGGCCGCGCGGGCCCCTGGCGGCCTGAGCCAGGGGCGGCCTCAGCGGAGGCCTGCTCCTCGAGGCGGCGGTTCACGCGGAGGAGGCGCTCCAGCCCCTTCCAGTTCACAGGCCATGCCCAGGCGCCAGGCCCGCGCAACCGCTGCAGCGCGAGCACATCCGAGGCCAGCAGCGCCGACGCGCGCACCACCTGCACCAGCATGCCTGGCGAGAAGAACTCCAGCGAGAAGACCCGCGCCTGCCAATCGATGACGGCATTGAAGGCCACCATCTCGCAGCCGACCCGCCTCAGAGCCAGCACGCACGCCTGTGCAGGGTCACGGCGCTGCCCCCAGGGGCGGCGCAGCTCCAGCAGGCCTTGCGCCCCGCGCCAGCACTCCTGCACCACCGCGGCACTTGGCAGGCCCGTCCCCAGCGTCATGCCCCAGGAGCGTGCCACCTCCACCGCGTGCACCACGAAGGGGTCTCGGTAGGCGGCGCCTTGCTGGGCCCGCAGCCGCAGGCCAACGCTGGCGCCCATGGGCAGCTTGCCCTCCGCGCGCATGGCGGCGACCCGCAGGCCGTGCAGCTTCCCGCAGGCGAGGCCCGTCACGGCGGAGCCCCAGACAGCGGTGGCAGCGGGGCCCCCCCTCTGGATGTGGCCCACCCGCGCGCCAGCGCCGCGCAGCAGGCGCGCCCGCGCACTGACCGCCGCCGCGCGGCCAAGCCGCGCGTCCTGCTCGCCCACGCGCCTCCAGCGCCCGTCGGTAGCGCCACCGCCCAGGCAGCGGGCTCCTGCCCAGCGGGCCAGCGGCCCGTGCGCCCAGCAGCCGTCCAGCGCGTCGCCCAGGTCCTCGCTGCTCACCAGGTAGCCCGTCTTCGCCTCCGAGATGACCAGCCCCTTGGCGACCAGGCCCTCGATGAGGGCAGCCATGGCCCTGGGTAGCTGCTGCACCACCTGAGCCTCGCCGCCGACCGCCTGCAGCAGAACGTCGTCCACGACGTTCTGCAGGCGAACCACAGGGTTCTCACGCATGATCTTCACGAAGAGGGTATGCACCAGCAGCTTGGCCAACCCGACCGCCCCACTGCATCCCGCCACAACGGTGCCGTTCGCCTCGAACGGCTTGGAGGCTGAGCCGCGCCACGACACGCACCGCTGCGTACAGCACGACACGCAGTAGCACCGCAGCAGCGCGAGCGGGAAGCCCGTGGCGACCGCCTGCGCGCGCAGCTCCTCGTGACATGCTCGTAGAACTTCGCCAGGTCGGTGACTCCAGTTGCGGCCGAGAGGCCCCTGCTGCGAGCGAAGGCCGCCAGGAGGTTGTGCACCACTCCTGCGCGCTCGCACGGGCACTCCGACGTGCCCCAGAATGCGGGGTTCTGCAGCGAGGCCTCCCAGCGTGCCACCAGCGGCTGTCGCATCCTGCTCCACACCCTCAGCCAGATGGCCGTGAGGCCGATCGGCCGCTGGCCTCCAGCCGCCTTGGGGATGAACACCACAACCAGCTGCCACAGCGCCTCCCGCGTGGGCCTGCCTCCGCTCCCAGGCCTGGAGGAGCTCCAGGAAGCGCTCCCTGTAGGACCGCGGGAGGCGCAGCAGCTGCTTGGGGTGGAGCCTATCCCAGCCGAGGCCGCACCCCTCGCGGTCGGCGCCCAGGACCCGCTCCAGATCCTCGAGCTCCAGCGGCGGCAGCACCGACTCCTGGATGTCCCAGTCCTCGGGCGCCACCTCGCCAGCGCGCGACGGCTTGATCCAGAGGGGCTGCCACGCCTTCAGCAGTGCAGCCACCGCGGCCTCGCCTGCTACGGGCATGCGCGGGCCATCGTCGCCATCTGCGCCCGCGTGCACCACCGTGGGCAGCACCGCGACCTGCTTGATGAAGCGGTAGGCCGCCGAGCCGCCCCTCTCGGTGGCAGCAGCCTGGGCCCAGGCGCGCCACTCAGCAGCCCTCCGCTGCTTGTCCTGCATCCAGCGCCGCCTCGCCTCCTCCTGGACGAACTGCACCGTCAGCTTGCACGATGAGGTGCTGAGCAGGCCGACAACGCGGGCGACCGACAGCCCTGCGAGCGGACCGTCATCAGGCCACTCGAGCTCGAACGCCTCCAGCACCTGGCGCTGCTTGCGCAGCGGCGCCGCGCAGCGACCTCCTGGCGCCGCCTCCTGCAGCGCACGCCAGCGGGAGCACGCCGCCGCAAACGACATCCAGCGTCTGCACGCCGCGCCAACGCTCCTCTTGAGGTCCTGCTTCCAGGCCACCTCCATCATGACCTTCTGCGCGCGCAGCCCGTCAGCCCGTCCTTTCCAACGGCTGGGCGGCGCGATCTCGTGGAGGTCGATCAGGTAGGCCTCCACCGCCTCAAACCACTCCTGGCAGCCGACCTTGAGCGGCTGCTCACCTCCTGGGCTCCAGGCAGAGAGCCCTCGCTCACGCGGCGCTGGCCTCGCTGGCGGCGGAAGCGGCAGCGGGAAGGCGGCAGGGAACGGCGGCCGCTGCACCCTCGCCGCTGGCCCTACGCCGCGGAGCACCACCTTCAGCGGCACGTGGTCCTTCGTCGGCGCCTGCAGCAGCACCTCCACCGTCTCCACGAAGCCCGTGAGGACCTTGCTGACGACAGCGAAGTCAAAGACCTTCGAGCCGCAGGTCGGCTCCCCTGGGGCGACAAGGGCAGCGCCCGCGCTGCGTGCCCACTCACGGACGTCCTCGGGCTCCATGTTCCAGTCACCCATCACCAGCCACGGCGACTCCAGCTGCCCGACGTACTCGTGCAGCGCCGCCATGAGCCCGATGTTCTCCTTCGCCCTGCCTATCTTCGTGATGAAGTAGGACGAAATGATGCAGCACGGCTCCCTGAATCCCAGGTTCACCTCGCACACCTGGAACCGATGGGCTGGGAGCCCTGGCGTCACGACTGCCGCAGACGGCCGCAGCGTGGCCACAGCCACACCTCCCGAGCTCTCCAGCGGCCCAGGGCCCGTCGCCATCGCGGCCTGGCCGTGCCAGCTGAAGCCACGCGCCTGCATCCAGCCCGCAGCGCGGGCCACCGCCTGCTTGCCCTTGAGGCGGTGCTCCTGGAGGCAGAGCACCTCGGGCAGCCGCCCCGCGCCGTCGTGCAGCCACTCGACCAGCGATTGCGCGGAGCCCCACGCGGTGGTGTTGGCCGACACCAGCTCCACCACGTCCACCGCCTGCGGGCGGCTACCCTGAGGCTGGGCCTGCCACTCGCTGGCGCTTGGCCAACGCTGCGCGCCAGGCCTCCCGCTGCTGCTCATCCTCCATGCCGACCTCGTCGAAAAAGGCATCGAGCCCGTCGAGCTCTGGGCCCAGGCCGAGGTCACCAACGCGCTTGCGGTCTCCAGGAGGACCAGCAGCGCCATCCACCTCGCCTGCGGCCGCGGGGGCGGCCTCCTGCGCGGCGGCGGCCCGCTCGGCGGCAGCAGCAACCGCACGGGCTCGCTCGGCCGCCGCTGCCTCGCGGGCGCGGGCGCCGGCGGCAGCGAGCTTCTCCACGAGGCAGCGGGCCTCCGCGGCCATCGCGAGCAGGGCGTCGCCGTCCTCCCCGAGCTGCAACACCCGCTCCCGCTCCGCCTCGAGGCCCTCGAGGCTCTTGAGCAGCGCCTTGCCCAGGTCGCCCGCCTCCTCGGGCTCGCCCACCTCCATGGGCGACGGGCCTGTGTGCTGCGCCAGGTCGGCGCGCTTCCTGGCGCGCACCGCCCCGGCCACCTCCTCCAGCTGGTCACGGCGCTTCTGGAGGACGCCCACCTGCTCCGCCACGCGCGCCGCGGCGGCCTCCTGCTCCTCCTTGGCCGCCGCCAGCATGGCCTCGGCACGGCCGACCTGGCCCTTGACCTTCGCCTCCCTGGCCAGGAGGGCCTGGAGAGACAGCTCGGCCAAGGGCTTCGCAGGCGGCGGCACGTCGGCCTCGGGCACCAGGGCCCCGAAGTCCTGGACCAGGGCCGCCGACCAGCCCTCCCTGGGGCCAAAGTGGCGGAGGAGGGCCAGGCGGACCTCCTCGTCCTTGCCGCCGCCGCTGCTGGGCTTCTCCACGGCCGCCTGCTTGGCCGCGCCCTGCGCCCACGGCGCCGGCGTGGCCGCGGCGGCGGACGGGCCAGGCCCATCCGAGGCGAACCGCACCCGCTTCGCCACGGCCTTCGCCTTCCCCTTGGCCTTGACCTTCTTGGCCTTGTCGATGGCGTCGCCGATCGTGTCAGCACCTCTCGGCGGCCGCGCCGCCTGGCAGAGCCTGCACACCGTGCGCCACGCCATGTTGCTGTAGCCAGCTGCACACGCGTTGCACGTCCAGGGGTCGCCACCCTGGCTGGCGCCGCGTGCGCCTCCAGCAGCACCATTCGCCATCGGCCCGCGGGGGCACGCCGCTTCGAAGTATGCACCCGCACGAGCGAGCCTCGTGCTCGCCCCGAAACGGCTAGCAGGAGCAGAAGGAGGAGGAGGAGGAGGAGGAGGAGGAGGAGGAGGAGGAGGCGGGGGAGGAGGATTGGAAAGGAGGAGGAGGAGGAGGAGGAGGAGGAGGAGGAGGAGGAGGAGGAGGAGGAGGAGGATGGGGGGATAGGCACTGGGGGGATACATCGACCTGGAATCGGCGATATGTCGCCGACAGACCGGCGAGGGGTCCCCGATAGCGAATCCGCATGTTCCTCGGAGGTGTTGGGCTATCCGACCGCTATCGGCGATCAATGGGCAATTGGGGGTCGATGCATCCCTCCCGGCGTATTCCTATCCCCCCTAGCGTTGCCCCTGGGATACGGTAAGTTTGTGCTGCAGCACGAAGGACGGCGCCTGACAACCCCAGACATGATCTCGTCTTTTGAAAAATCAGGGCGGGAGATTTTCCCAATGTTTGGCCCCTGGGGGGCCTCACCAGGCCTCGGGGCCGCCAAAAACGGCTCGGGACGAAAAACCGGTCCTGGGGAATGGGTCGAGACCTCTGGGGGTCGACGTTCTGAAACATCATGCCGTCTGGGGTCTGGTAAGGGGGATACGGTGGGCAACTTTTGCTTAGCCGGCAGCACGAAGGACGACGCCTGACAAGGGGGATACGTTAGGTTCGTGCGGCGTCGGCGCGCGCAAAGGTTTTTGACACCGCCTCGATCGTTCAACCTTCAAGCGATCGCGGCCCCGATAATTCAAGGTTGGATTCCGTCGGGTCCAACGGCGCTACTCTGAGTACCTCAATAGTTTTGGGTTCCCAAGGTGCAAGGGCCCCCCGGAGTACAAGGGCCCCCCAGGACTACAAGGGACCCCCCCCGGACTACAGGGACCCTCCAGGACTGCAAGGACCCGCCCCC